GTAAATTTTAACAAAACTAATCTATTTACCTAAAAAAACAAGGTGAAAAGGTAAAAATTTGAAACAAGATTTACGATAAAAAAATTGTCCTAAACTTGTGAAAACGCATTAGTCCTATGACTAAACAGTTCTAAATTGACGTAGTCTGAATCTCAATTCTGTTTCAAGATGGCGGATAATGTCGTCATACGAAGGTTAACACAAATGTACAGAATTTTCACTGTGAATCACAACTTGTACTGTCCTGTTTCAACTTAGAAACAATTTCAGCAAATGTATTTATCCAAAGCAATATGTGTTGCTCTCCAGGGAAAATAATTATTCTTTAAAATGTAGATGAAGTACAGCTATTACCAATAAAAAAAACCATGGTGTTATTCATACATACGAACGAACAACTCTTTCCAGTACAGGAAGATGTTATGATGTGACTCTCTAAGATGTTAAAATATGAATCTCAACTATGACTGACTATTGTATAGGTAACTGAGTATTTAAAACAAACTAATACGTCACCCCACGTACAAGCATGAAGAAATCATGAATATTTCGAAATCTAGCCACATTGCAGTATAAAATATCAACAAGTATTATTAGTAATGACCGTGGTCACAGCCAATCATTTACATAGCTATTTCCGACTGTTTACTTAATATGACCAAACCGTCATGTAAAAGTCGTGTTTACGCGAGTCACATTTACGTTTTAAATAAACACGATGTTTCTAACAAAATATCAGAGCCTGCGAACATAATCATCATCATAATAAATAACTATATTTAATGACATAAAATGAAATCAAAATGAAATAAAGATTTAGAAAAAAAAAATCAAATTTGAACACACCTGTACTTTAATTACATGGTCGTAACAAGGTAGTATGGTCGGATACAACAACAATTTCCCAAAATATAAAATTGAATTCGTGTTCGGATTGAACCGTCTTATTAATACTGAGGTATCACAGATTCATTAATACCGAGGTAACACAGATTGGTATTCCAATACTGAAAAATAATCTGTGGCAGTACAACAATACAACTTAAAGTGGACAAAAAGAAAGAATAAGAGACGTATTTTTGTGACCAGAGTTCTACTTGCACATCTGCTCTCAGATACTATGACGTCTCACTAACCGTCCATTTTCAATATTTTTATAGATCAAATTTATGTTGGTTTTTTTTTTCTTCAGAGCAATTTAAATCTTTGAATGCATTCTGTTACAGCTCTGTGGTCTACTAATAAGTAGCAGAAAGAAGCGAAACAAACACTTTTAGTATAATCAACAAGTACGTTTATTTCTCAAACTTACAAAGCGAAAATTTAATTGGAACTAAACATTATTACGAAATAAATCCTAAATAATCCTAAACCTTATATCACAAATTCAAAATTATCGAGTGTTTTGAATGAAATCCAGTATTAAATAAGTTGATGTGCCAATAGTCTTGAATGAGCTGATGTGATAATAATCTTGATGTGTCACAATGATATAAAATAAAATGTTTCTTAATGAATTTACAATTGTCCCAAAATAGCGAAGTTGTTCAAAATATCATTGTACAATGTAGTTGTTTAAATTATTGTTTAAATAAATGATTCCTCTTAATTTATATCAGAACACAATAGTAAATAAATCCAGAGGCTAAATTTAAAAGAGAAATGAAAAACAAATTTGTTTATCAGAACCTTCATAAAAATCTTAAGACACAATAAAGTGACCGAGATGTAGGTCAAAAGTTTTCTTCAGAACGTTCTAGCAGTAAATAAGGTTAGAATTTGAAGTCAAATATCAGTAAACAACTTTTTTATTATTAAAAAGTAACAAAAGTCAGGTAGATCCGAAACTTCTCTACCCTCAAAAAAGAACAAGGGTCAAGCACACAAAATACATTAAATATAGATAACAATTAAAATTTTCTTTGTTTCAATTCGTATGCAAAGTTTAATTTTGATGAAAGCTAGATCTACCGATTCTTCAATACTGGCGTATATAAGAAAGGGGCATAGTTTTTGTCGCATGTGGTGGCCATCATATTTGTGACGTGATCAGCGTTACAAGTTTCCGTTGCCGTTTGTATTTTGTTGTTTTTTTTATTTAGTCGTATACACAAGTATTTTACCGTATAAGTAAGTGACGAATAATTTAACTTGACTACAGTCAATACCACTAAATATTCACTGGCAGCAATAAACATTAAACGAATTTTAAACAATTTTAAACTATGGGACTACTTATAGATATTGATACTAAAGGTAGCAGGAGTTGATTTAGTTTACGTTTTGAAATAGTTTATGGGCTTCACGTTCAGTTAGATATTTTTTATACTCATTTATCAACAATGTAATCAAAAAACATTAATGCCGAAAAATAAATAATTTGACCTAATCAATTAGGAAAAGAAACAGCTTGGTCAGTACTCTTAAATAACTGCTCTTTCAGATAACCAATAATACCAGGTATTGCTGCTCCAATATTCTTTAGCAAACGTAAACGAATAATTGAATAAGTTTGAATATAAGACTAAAAGATGAAGATGGAAAATTAATAGATTTTGATAGAGCATGTGTCCTTGTAACATATATTTTAATGTCAAATAATCAAGGAGTAATTGCAGAGCAAACTTGTGACATCTTTAGGAGGCCTTGTTCAAATGTGCTTCACTTTTAAATATGGAGCCATAAAAGTATGTTTAGAAACGAGAAGATTGTTGATTTTTTTCGAGGCAAAAACAAAATCCCATTGGCTAAAACTTAGTGATTTAGCCATGATCCATCCACTTTAACTGAAAACAAGTTTTATACAATAGAAACTAGTTACTCAATAATTCAATCATGGCGATATAAAATTCTAATAATACAAATCAGGCATAGAATGTTGTTTTAAAATCAGCTCTTATATAGAAATTGTAAATAATATCATTTACTTTTATTTTGATACTGGAGTAGATGCAAACACTAATTGTTTGGAATACGCAGTCAATATATAAAATGTGTTAATCTGAAAAGGGTAAATTATTCATAGGCAAGTTATCTAGAAAAGAAACATACTTTCGAACGATAGCATCGATCAAGCCGATGTTCACAACAAAATCAAGCAGACAATATGCCAACGTGTTTCTTTTACATGCAAATATCTTGCAGAACAGACCTTTTATTCTGTAAGAGTATATAAATAACAAAATGGCTACAAGAGCAGTAATTATTGCAATAGCTAATCAATCTAGTCAGATTATTTGATCTTATTGTAGCTGATGTGGGAAATTATGCACGACAAATACCAAATGAACTTTATTAAAAACATTGAATATACACTTGGCTACTTAATGAAAGATTGAAATAATAATGTTTGTAATTCAAGGATTTCGATGATATTTACTCACAATACCTCTACTCACCCAGAAAAAAAATGTAACACTTATCGTATATAAGCCTACAGCTTTCTTTGTTAAAAAAGATCGACATTTTGTGCAATATTGTACTTAACAAATAACAGATGACGTAATATAAATACATAACGGCATACAAACAAGTAAAGATATAATAAAGAGATTAATACAGCAGTCCTATATGTCATTGTATTATCTTCGTTCAGAGCAGAATTAAACCTGAATAGATAGATCTCCACTATAAGCATACATATATTGATTTTGCCAGTAGTTTGATATGAAGGTAAAGGTAGATGCTACACATACAGAAATAAGAATTTAGTTAGAAACTTTGTTCAAGACGTCATGATATCGAACAGAAAACATAGTTTTATCAGGCTGAATTACTACAACATTGTTACACATCAGAAGAGCTGTACTCATATGCTGGCTATGAGAAATAGAATTCAACAAGGAAATCTACTTGATAAATTGAGAAAGTTAAATCAGCCAATCAGGACCCGTTAATATACAAAATAGTGATGCTAACTCTATATGGTTCTATGTGTGCCGAAAGCAATTTAAAATAGTATTAGTAATTAAGATTCTAACAGATTATTGTCTGCTGTGTCAAAACACTTTTCTTCTAAATACTTATTTAACATTTTACCAAAAAAAAAGAATAATATAAAGTTCTAACCTTGGTAACTGGAAAATATTTGCTTCAGTTACCTTACGGTTATTTCGAAATCAATTCAGCAATCAGTAAATGTCATGTATGGAATTGACAATGTTTATATTTATAACCACATCACCAAAGAGAAGACTATTAACATACCAGCCAATACAATGTTATCGAAACTAGAACTTTACTCTCCCAGGATGAGCTTTTAAAGAGTTTTCATGCTTTGCCAACTGTGCGGAAAATATTGATTCATAAATGTTGTGTGCATCAGCAACATAAATAGTCGTAGTGGTTAAGTTCATCTGCATGCTTTTCAGGTAACGCAAAAGTTTGAAGAAGCCAGAAAGTATATTAAAGGTAAGAAAAGAAAGCAAGCTGTACTTAAAAGTTTCACACAGGTAACCATTACATCTGGCTTGATTCTAGAAGTACACATAATAAAAAAATTTAATGATGGTAATTGTTTTAAATTTGGTAATGACCAACAAAGTATTAGCCTTGAAATCAACACACACACACACACACACACACACACACACACGGTTTAGGAGAGAAGACGCTTTATTTTGGTTGTATTTCACTGTGGATACAGAAAGACAATGAAAGAATTACGTGTGTGATTTGGATTTTTAACAATTTTTCAGTCATATCGCAACGTTGTCTGCATTGTTGCAGTCTGTAGTGATGTCTAGCACTGGGGAACCATGTCTCAGACATGTAACATCTTGTCCAATCCAGTCACATTATCCTGACACCAGACCAACCAGTCCTAACCACTTAATGCTGAGCACCAAGAAGAGCAGCTGCCTATACCACTTAAATCAGTCTTTTGGTGTGACTCGATAAGGGTTCACACCCACGACCAGGCCGACCTGTCCTAACATTAATCTCTTACTGCCGAGCGACAAAGGAGGCAGCTGTTAGTACCATTTTATAAGTATTTGGTATGACTCGCATGGGGATCAAACCCACGACCTCCCGCATCTGAGGCGGACGCTCTAACCACTAGGCCACCGGAGCGGTAAAATTACGATTAGTGCAATGCATGGAGAATGTTGTTTTGTAAATCGGATGCTATGTATATCATGATATCGTGATTGTATTATATCTATTTCTTACTAATAGTATGTTCCCTGCTTTCCATATGTTTGAGAATTCCAACATCGGCACAGAGAAACATCGTGTTAAAACATTGTTGCGTTACATAAATGTGACATAACTGTGTTGTGTGTGTGTGTCTATGTGCGTGCGTGTGTGTCTATGTGCGTGCGTGTGTGTGTGTGTGTGTGTGTGTGTGTGTGTGTGTGTGTGTGTGAGAGAGAGAGAGAGAGAGAGAGAGAACACGTCAAATAACAGACCATGATTTTTCCTGGTTGAACTATACCTGTTGCAATTAGTTTGACTGTTCAACACCTATTCCAACTGACCAACAACAATTTTGACTGATCCCCCCACTCTGACAAGCTAGCATGTATTCTTTATGGCCTATTCTGACTTACAGGCACCTATTTGGAATGAATCCTATTCTGACTCTCAGCTATTCTAGACAAGCACCTGTTCTGACCAACTAATTATGCTAACTATAGTTACAATAGTATATTCGGACTGATCAACATATGTTCTGTAAGACCTTGCACATAAAGCGGATAGGTTCATCAGTGGCTTATTCATGTCTCGAAACAACCGAACGTGATTGTGATTGTGATTATGATTTTTAACGTAGCTTTAACAATTTTTTTCTCTGTCGTATCGCTATGATGTCTGCAGTGTGGCAGTTTATAGTGATGTCTAGCACTGGGGCATCATGCCGCAGACATGTAGCATGATGTCCCACCAAGTCACGTTATCCTGACTCCAGACCGACCAGTCCTAACACTAACCTCTTAATGATGAGTGCCAAGCGAGGCAGCTGTTAGTGCCATTTTTTATAGTCGGAAGTGTCGGACTGAAGATCTTGCCAGCTTGAGGCTTTCCACCTTTCACGACCTGCTAAAATAACAGCTTCCAATATCACTGACAAGATTGATTAACTGCAAAATTCTAATGACGAGGTTGACATCAGTGATAGAAAAGCAATCGTGTATGTGTCTCGCGTTTCACCTACTTAAACTGCGGTATGGATACAAGTTCCTAACATGGGGTCAAAGACAGCAGGCCAGTATCACCAGAAAAATTGCCATAATTCAGATGTCTTTTGAAACTAAGGAAGGTGTTGTACAGTTGCAAGCAGCCGTTGTTTGAGCCGACATTTTCGTTTCATCTCTCTCTCTCTCTCTCTCTCTCTCTCTCTCTCTCTCTCTCTCTCTCTCTCTCTCTCTCTCTCTCTCTCTCTCTCTCTCTCTCTCTCTCTCTCTCACACACACACACACACATGTACCGTCTAACAATGATTTAGCACAATGTAACCATATGGTTCTGGCAGATTCCTTAAAAATAATCAAAGAAGACAACAGTCAGGTTTGGTTCGGTTCGGTTCGGAAATTATAGTCGTATATGCAACTCCTGGCCTGACGACTCTTCAAGCCTCTCACGAGGCCAGAGATTCCCTGCCCGAAGGCATAGAACTCCAATAGCCCCCTATGTGGTTGGCCTTCAGCCCAGACGCACACGGGGGCGCTTGGTCCTAGGCTGGACCTTTTCGCTACTGACCAGACCATAAGACCTTGACGAGTACATTACATTCACAAAATCTATCGAGGAAGAACACAACCCAAGCCAGCAGCAGGAAGAAGAGCACCAGAAGAGCCCCCACCACAGCAAGGCCCGCAGAGCCACACCGGAAAATGAAGGCATACAGACGGGACAAGACATACAAACATGGACAGTGGGTGCCACGGCAGGAAGTCTGTATCCCACAAGGGCTTGTAGGTTTCAGGAGCCCATCCAGGACCATGCTAGTATATTTTCCCTAGCGCCTGTTTGTAACACCCATCGTCATACAATACAAGACGAACGAACAGAGAGACAGACAAGCCATGGTGGTAAATCGACACTCCGACCGGGCTGTCAAAGTTCCGGATCTCACCCAGGTTTTTGCTAGTATGTTTTCCCTAGCACCTGTTGGAATGGCCACATGGAAACATAGAGGGTGTAGCTCCGCCTACCGGGGACTGCCGATCGTAGTCTCAGAAGTGCACATGACGTCCTTGCGGTGTAGGGTTGAAGTTCTTGAAGTTGTTGTTGGTAGATGCTGTGGAAGTTGTTGCAGGTGATGTAGTGATTGTCCCAGAGCCATGCACCACTATTTGGCATTTTTGAAATTGTGGCAATTATTAAATATCTTTTCAGAGTGGGCATGACTCAAGGACGTAGCAGCAATGAAGGTCTGGTAGTTGATCGTAGATACAACAGAGCTCGCCCCAGAGCCCTACAGGGAATGGTTTATAAGGGATTTTGGCTTGAAAAGGACTCCAGGGCGTAGCTGCATCGTCTTGGTAGTGTAGATATTGTCCCTGTAGTATTGGATTGGAGAAGACAACAGTCAGTTTCAGTGTGGTTGTTATATTTGTCTGTCTACTAATATTTTCTAGAGGGCTATAACGACATCGTTCATGTTATATTCCCATAAAGCTAACGAGTTCCCTATGCCTAATATTAGAATTCCCACGCAATGAATGAGTGCATAAATAAACATTGGCTGTCGACACGTTTTTTTTTTATCGCTATATCATCTTTTTGAACAAGAAAGGGATCAAATAATACCAAATTGAAACTGTTAATAATAGGATTTGAGTTTATTCAGTTGCTTTGGAATAAAATACAATCAAATCGCTTGAACGAGTAGACAAAAATATTGACTCCAAATAGAAGGTTATCACACTAACAAGAATAAATGTATTAGACTTATATGTACAGTACTCAATAACGCGAGTCAATAGCCCAGGAAGATTGCACAAAATTATGAATGTCTAAGACACCTTACAGTGGATGTGGGTTTGATTTTCTCATAGATTAGTTATTATGCCTTCTTCTACTCCTACCGCCAAATTTTAAAAAAATATTTTCTTCAGAAGCAACATTTATTCATTTTGTACAATATATTGGAAAACAAACAAATATAAATGAAGCACAGCAAACTAATTATGTAAACAAATCTCTTAGAGTATCTCTTTAAGCATCTCGTTCATTCTACTCCCCACCCATAAAAAGTGTTTAAAAATTTTACAAATTATTTCTAACATATATAGACAGACAGACATACATAGGATGAATTGGAAAGTCTGAAAATAGACAAAAGTATCCTGAATTTATTCAAAGTACTATAAATACCTAGGAGGAAACGCTCCATTTGGTCAAACCTATACATGTCCCACATAGACGAGGTGTATAGATGCTGCCGCGATTATGTTCTTTCTTATTATTCATACCAGTAGCTTGAAGTCTTCTATTACATTATTGAATTGAACTTAAATTGTGATACACGAGAACAGTTTGTGTTGATTACAGTAACGGCCAATCAAATTTTATATAAAGTATTGTCAAATGTTGTCAAGCGCTTAGAACTTCTTCTAAAGATTATGCGCTATATAAAGTCCTCGTTATAATTATTATTATTATTATTATTATTATTATTATTATTATTATTATTATTATTATTATTATTATTATTATTATTGATTTGCAATAATGTATTTTCGAAATTAACTCTAGATACATAAAATCATGCGTATATTCGTATGTCTTATGCCATGAAATGCCTTTTCAGTACAACCTGAGAACAACGCAAACTTTAATTCCATCTGTCAAAAAAAAAAAAATACTTTCCCTTCCTCCTCTGCATGTGTCGTTATTTATTTGTTTATTTATTTAATTTATTTATTTGCAACATATTTTAAAGATGTGACTAGACCGATTTTCCACTGTCAGGTTTTGTATTATTTTACTTTTTTGATAACATGCTAATCAATAGCATTTATTATTAGACACTTACCTTCCGATGAGTTTGCGTCAATATCATTCGGGTTACCCATAACTTGACCCCAATGAAGTTTACATATATCAATCACACCTTCTATCATCATCGTCGTCGTCGTCGTCATCGTTATTATTATTATTATTATTATTATTATTATTATTATTATTATTATTATTATTATTATTATTATTATAAATATTGGGAATGCATAGGAATCGTCACTAACATGTGAAATTACAAAGACATCTTTCTCTCTCTCTCTCTCTCTCTCTCTCTCTCTCTCTCTCTCTCTCTCTCTCTCTCTCTCTCTCTCTCTCTCTCTCTCGCATTTTTCGATACATATTTTCTGCAATCATCCAAGTTAAGATGATATAGAAAGCTTGAAAAAATTAATTTGACACCACTTTATAAGAAGTCGCTAATACATGAGATGTGTCTCGGTCTGCCATTGAAAATACACATGTATATGATACGTAACGTCATTTTATCATCACAGTGACGAAAGGTTCACTTCATCTCATCAACCAATGAAATCACTTTTTCAATTTATGTGAAAGCCTGTTTGTGACGTTACATTAAAAAAAAATTAGGTCTCACTGGACAGTTTATCTGATGAATTTCCAACTGACATTGACCTATTGCAGAAAAATGAGAATACTTTTACGCTGAAGGTACAAATAAAAATAAACTAATGATTTTTGTAGAAAACATGCATGTGAGATTTGACTGCGGCAATCAGGTTAATTCCTTATACATCTGGCGGCTTTTATACTGAACCATCACTGCCACCAACCCCTCTTTTTACATTAATTTTGACAGCAATGAGCTATTTTGAATATTCTCTGGTGACAAGGCAGCTAAAAACATCAGTATATGCTTTATGAATGGATACAGTTCACTAGTACCGTAACAAATTGGCATAATTTTCATCGCCCCTCAACTATCTCGATTTGTAGATATTTACCTCCGTAGCAGACATACGTAAATACGTAAACCAAGTTGGATGTTCATTTGCATCCCAAGGTACGAATTTGATCTCCAGTGCTGGTCTAAATGTGACAGGCAGTCACCAAACAAGCCAACCCATTTTCAAGCCTAACTCAAA